TCATTCAAAAGGTGAGGGGGGTATTATTTCCCAACACTAAAAGGTTAAGGGGGTAAGATGGAATTGACTCCAATTATTACGAAGTGTTTTTACTTTTGTACCTCGATATTGAAAGGATCATTATAATTTGGAAATTATAATAAATAATAAGAAATTTGGAAAAGAGATATTCTAATTTATTATCTAATCGTAAAATAAACTAATTAATAATTTTATTGTTAAAAAGTTATTACATTCATGACATTACCAATTCACCATACAAGAATATAATTAGAACATCCTAAATTTCATACTCAAATCGTTCTGTCTCTGGCATATTTGGTTAGCTCGAAACATTTTTCGCACACCGTTAAAACAGCTTTCTTCCTCTCATATCCTCAACTTGGTAGTCGAATTTTTCCATATTGTTGTTTTACCAGTGTCCTCGCATAGCCGTATACCCATACAACTTCAATGGCACTCACATCGCAGTACTCTTTTCACACTTATGGGTCGTTTGGTTACCGGTTAGAGTTATGCAGGTATTAGTTATACATGTATTAGTTATGCAGGTATAACTTATGTATGTATTAGTTATGCAGGAATAGGTAATGCAGGGATTAGTTATGCATGCAGTATTAGTTATGCAGGGATAAGTTATGCAAGGTTGAGTTATGTTGGGATTAGTTATGCATGAATTAATTATGCAGGGATTAGTTATGCGGTAGTTATATAAGGATTAGTAATATAAATGTAATATGAGTGTTATTTATTATTATCTTACTTTATTTTTATTAAAATTGTTAGTATAGTTTAAATATATTTATTTAAACAAAAAAATACAAGTTTGAATAAAGGGTATTCTTGTCATTTTGCGTTTTAATACAAGTATTACTAATTATGTATAAGTTATTCCACCTTATACCTTGCATAAATAATACATAGATTCCCTCATAACTTATACATGTATTAGCTGTACATGTATTAGTTATGCGGAAAAGAAAACACATGAACCAAACATTGTATTAGCAATGCTATATTTTATGTGAAAAAGAGGAAAAAACAACCAAACATTGTATAACTTATGCTAGCTTCTATGTGGAGATTATTCTTCCCCCTTCTTTTAACCAAACAATGTATAAAGTTATCCTGCATTTAATACATGAATAACTCCACTCTAACCGGCTACCAAACGATCCCTTAATACTGATGGTTCAGCCCACTTAGATACATGCTAGGGCTGGATTGGTAGTATCATACGTGACTCCACGGGTAGCTGGCTCAGGACGTCACATTTCTCCTTGGGAATGTTAAAACTGAATTACGTGCCCTTTATCACTAATTACAATTGGCTTATAATCATGGATATAAGCCTCTCCAAGTGAACCTAGACGCTCAAATAGTAATTAATATATTACAGACCTCACACCCTCATTATGCTAACCTTATACATGATTGCAGCTTTTTGTTCGTGTGGATGATCCTATCATACGTTACACATACAGGGAGCAAAACCAAGTAGCTCATTTGCTAGCGTCTAGCAAAGTATGGCTGTCATATGGATAACATTACCGGCATTACTATTTTTGCACAACCCCCGCTTTTTGTACAACCGGCTTTGGAGGATGATCGCTCACGCACACTTTTGTTAGAAGGGTTACACCACTAGTTCTTCAGCGCGCAACCTGTTCACAAAATCCTCTTAACCAACCATTTTGTATCTCAAGAAGTACGTATATAAATAGTAGTAGTAGTGATTCCCTTAGTCCCCCCCCCCCCCTTCCTCCCTGGGTAACGACATAAAAATTAATTACAGCAACAATTTTATCCATATACGCAACAGGGAAAAAAAAAGATGAAAAAGTAGATCAATATTTCATATATATTTAGAGTTTCGAGCTTTTTATCTACAATATATTAAAAACAGGAACTTGTTTAGCTAAAAGTCAAATTACAAAATTACCCTTATTTTAGTAACTTTATTCAAAATTACCCTTTACTTATTTTTTTTTTAAAAAAAATCAAAAAATAAAAACTAAACAGACGTGCCTCTCTCAACAATTGCACTCTTTCCTCGCAACAGACGCCTTTTCCAAAAAAAATTCATCTATATTTGTTCTCTTAAAGATCCTATGGCAGTACCTCAATCTTCGGTCTTCTCCATTAAAGCAACATGCCAACATGTGTGGATCTTATTTTATTTCAATTAGTCTTTTCTTCTGAGTTTTTCCTAATCTCTTTCTTTTATCAGATCTTTGGCACTATTACTATTCCATCTACTCATACCTAAATCTTAGCTAATACATATCTTTGGGAGAGTCAAGTTGTAAGTTCCTTGATTTTGTTCTTTAGTTGATTTTATTAATTTTACCTTAATTGATTTTTGAATCGTTGTTTACAATTATTCAACTAGATATGTTTTCTGAAATGGTTTGAATTTGAAGATGACTAGCTATAAATAAAGAATAACTGTCAGATTATTCAAATGGTTACTTAAATGTCCTATTAAATAATTTAAATACCCTACTAAATAATTTAAATAATTTCCTACTAACAATCTTAATTAGCAAATCATCATTCTTTAAAAGTCACAGCCCTTGGAGAAAAGAAAAAGCCTACACTAATGAACATGCACAGACGTCTTTGCCACGCATTAGCAAGTTTGCAATTCTCAAGTGAGAATTGAATTCCGGTAGTAATTTAAGTATTAAACACATGTATCTTCGTTACATTAAGCATTAAACTTAATCAAAAATTCTTAAACGCATCTATTTTATTTTGATAGTAAGGCCTTCTCCCTCTCTCCTTTTTGTGGCTAATTTTTCTGGATCGAGATGGTTACGTATTAGAAATATCACATAATTAAACTATGGTAATTCGAAGTTAGAGGCAAACTTCATAACAAACTTTAGGTAACTGATTATATTTTCTTTGACACATGTAAAAGTTTTGCTCTCTGCATTCCTCTACTCCAGTTTTAAATTGTTAGGTTCTATATAAGTTTTTTGGATTCTTGAATCTATTTGTGTCTTTTAATGATTAAATTGATGATTATGTTACTCCTTTGAATTTTTTTATTTCCTTTTGTTTAATACTGTTTATACAAATGGATTCTCTAAAAGTGCTAACTTGATAATCGAATTTATGCATCTATTTATTGTATTCTTCCATACATTATTCTTCCACATTTTTGGCTTATTTCAACTTGAATCATTAATGTTTGTTTGATAACCTTTGAAAATTGGACATATTGTGTTGGACTAGGATAAGAATAAAATTAGTTTCGAATATTAGGCTTTTATTTGGATCATGTAGAAAAACTGCCACTACTAGATGAATGTTGGTTTCAAATGATACTATTTCTACTGCTTGAATTTGTACAATGACAAAGCACTTTGGAGATAATTTGAAATAATAATGTCTCTCCTGTGACTTTTGCTTCCCTAATTAGCATCTTAAATAATGAATAACCAAAAGAACTCTCTCCGAAATAATTAATTAATTAAAATTACTAATCATGGTACATCAAGTGGAGTTTGATTATAATAAGTAACCAAGTTACAAAAGTAAAGAGAGAAGTGTGCTTGAGCCTTGTAACTTGTAAGTACTACTATTATCTTTATTTTTTTCTATTTTTAGTACATGTCACCCATTATATTGAATAGAATACCTCTAGCAGATGATCACTGGTACTCCAAAAATTTTAATAAGTTAAATGTTTATCGGTTTGTGTAATGCGGCTTAGTACTTATGATGGTGGTTCTTGATTCATTTTTAAACTAAAATATCCGCATCTTTAAAATGGCAATCTCAATTGATAAGTTAAATGTTTTCGTAGTGTAAGAGGCTGCTTAGCCTTTCCGATTTATTAGATATTGGTTCTTCATTTATTTTTTGTAATTTTTGAATGTTCTCAACTTTGAAGTGGTAGTCCTAATACTTTATAATAAGCTAAACGTTTTTCGGCGTGTGATGTTCCTTAATTAGTACTTCTGATTTATTAAAGTGATAGATAGCTAAAGGCACAATTAAAGCATGCACTTAGCGAAGAAAGGCACAATTGATAGGAAGATAAAAATTAATACATGCGCAGTTCAAATAAAGCTGCCAAATAACATTTGAATAGACGAAAAATATTTAAAATTTATAATTAGGTAGAATAATTTATTGTTTTTTAAGTGTGGGTACACGAGGGATTAATTATTTGTCGGGTAAAATATGACTCGATATACACGTGCAAGGCACGTGCCGAGGAACTAGTAATAGTATAAATAGATAGATAGATAGATAGATAAATAGATTCATGTACATTTTATAGTCATGGATAAAAATACAGGGTACTATAAAGTATGGTTATTAATATTAAACAAAGATCTAATATGATATGAAATTAAAGATCATTTCAATCCTTTTTAGATGTTAAAAATAGCGTAGCATTTGACCTGTGACTTTGAAACTAAATGTTTTTTCTCCTTTTCCTTTTTATTCTTGAATATTTAATTTTTTTTACTTCGATATGCTAGAAATTACTGTGTCCACGATGCAGTTATAGTCATGAATACGTAATTCTATTTAGCAAAATACGCAATAAATTATAGTCTATAAAGCTCTTACCGGGAAATCTAAAATGGAAAAAACTTTGGTAAATGAAAAATAGCACAATGCATATTTACTTTGTTGAATCTATTGAGTTTTTGCAATCTACTTTTCTAAAAGCCCGTCTGGACATAAGAATTTTTTCACTTTTTTCGAACTTTTTTTACTATTTTTCGAAATCAGTGTTTGGCCATGAAATTTCCAATTTTCACTTGAAGATGAATTTTGGAAGTTTTTGAAATTTGAAAAACTCCAAAAAACTGTTTTTCAAAAGTGTCACTCAGATTACTCACAAAACTTCAAAAACAATCCAAAATTATATTCATGTCCAAACACAACTCTAATTTTCAAATACCATTTTCACTTTTAAAAAAAATTCACTTTTTTTAGAATTTTCCAATTCTTATGTCCAAAACCCCACCAAGTCAAATGTTCAAAAACTTTTACTGTGGTATTTCTGGTGAGCAGATCAACAAAAACCAGAGTTCGTTCATACTTAAGTTGTACAGAGCATTGCTCAGCAGAAGGTTTGCTTCAACGAAGCTGATGCCCCTTCAAAGTCAAGTTGAAATTGACGTATTTCGTCAGAAATGGCAGTCTCTTTAGATCTCAATACAATAATCTCTTGATCCTTCGTCTCTTTCATGTTCTTGGCAAACATAAGTTCTTTCTCCAGCTCATTTAGCTTCATAGCAATCTTGCTGATCTCTTTTTCAGCTTCTGCTCTCTCAAGAATGCAGTCTCTGATTCTGCCCTTTATTTCATCCAAATTGTTTTCGAATTGAATTTGCCTCTCACTGTTCAATAGTAGATCGTCCAATGGACATTTAATCTGCATAACATCAAATCCACACTCCTCCAAGTCCTCAAGAGATGTCAGAATGTCATTGATGACCATTGAATTTTTAAGATCAGCAATGGTTAATTTTGATATCTTATCACCAAGGAAGGCATACTTTAGCATCTTTTGCAGAGCTAGCTCTTCTCGTTTCTCCTCCTCATGTTCTGCTAAAGGTGAGAAATGTGGATTTTGTGGAATTTTTGTAAATATTTCCATAGATTCAAGTGATCTCCAAACAGTGGATTTTTTCTGAAATGGCAGTGCCGGACTCGGCTCAGTGATGGAACTAAGAGCAGCATCTGGCCATTCATCAGATTGCAGAGGACTGGTTCCAGTACATGGCTGGACTGCTGTAGGAGAAGCTCCTGCAAATGCTGACTGATTAACCATGCAACTAACGGGGCAAAAGAATAAAGTGATTTTGATGTAAAACAACAATAGAAAACTGCAAGATATCAGAAATGAAACGCACAAGCTCCTGAGTTGGACCATTTTTAGATGGAACTATGCAAATTATTCTAGCTCTAACCAAAGAGTTCAGTCTCCTATGGGAGGAGGGGGAAGGAGGAGCACGATTGATTGTTGCATGTGAATATGAACATTGGAGTTGTCAATTCTTAAGTTCAGGAGGCTGGTTCAACTACAAATTTGGTTGGTAGTGGTTATCTTCCATCTAATACTTAAAATTAGGAAACCCAATTATAGTTTTTTAAGGAATATACTAAAATGATAGTAGAAAATGTTGCTAACTAACCAGGAGGAAAAAAAATAAAAATTTAATATTCTTTTCATTCTTCATTTCTGAACTATTATGAAGGTCGAGCTTCTATCAAACTATAAAGTTCAATTCATAAAACCTATCAATGACTTACTCAAATCTTGCACAAGCGCCTTGATATTCGGCTTGACTATGCTCAGCTACAGCCCTTGTCGCAAGTTGGAATTGCTATTTAATGCCCCGAAGGATTCTTTTTTTGATTCTGGGCCGCGAGAGTTATTTCTTTCGATCTCCATCTTTTTACCCGTAATAGGTATTGGTATATACCCGGATTTCGTTCTTTCATTAGCTAGAAATTGAGGACAGCAAATTTTAGATACCTCACTTTCTCTTATTTTAAGAGTGTCAAACAACGTAGGAAGCTTGGAGTTCTTTATGCTTCCGGAACAAAAAAGGTCTAATTGAACTTTCTAATTCAACAAGCAGGAAAATTTAACATGGAACACTATTTTTTTGAGAACCATAAATTTCGAAAAAGAAAACAGATAACCTGCAGCTCTTGTTGTTAGTTGGAGTTAGAAATTGAGGATGCCCAATTTTAGAAACTCCTCTCTAATATTTAAATAGTACTATCAAGTAATGCAGGAAAGCTGGAGGTCACACTAAAACTATTGCTACAAGGGAAGTCTGATTAAACTTTCTAACTAAAGATTAATTTAACATTAGACACAATTTCTTTGAGAACCATAAATTTCGAAACAAGATGCTTAACACGTAGGAATTACTAAACAGTGTTAAGATGAGCACTTGGAAACATGAATCCTGAAGAAAGTAGAAATATTGCGTTAATTTGGATTGACAAGGCAAGTTTTACCTGCAGAAATACTTATCTCATCAGTTGAAGTCTGCTTAATTTGATTTATTGCATTTGTTTCGTTGACCGTGTCATGGAGAGTGCTCCCAGGTACTTGCGTCTCCACACCTGTCATCGAGTAGAACATTTTATAATGACGCAATGAACCAAAAAAAAGAGAGTACCAAATCAGTTACCTTGTAGCACTGTCAATGATCCATGGTCAGACAGATTCTTAGTACTTTCTTTGCTGCTCTCCTGAATGAGAAAGAACAGAAGACAACACCATAATCAATCAGAAATGAACAGAAAAGTGAATCTATGGAGAAAAGAAACGGAACTCAAACGTATGGAGTACATATTTCTATCAGTTACATATCATCAAAATCTTTATTTTGGCCCATACTGTAGGTAAAATCTAAGCATCGCCGTGCAACATTCTGGTACTATGTATCATATCCAAATGCTGGTGATAGATTCTAAGTACTTACAGATTTGATGCAGATGAATGAGCACCACAATAATATGTTACCTCAACCGTCTGAACTTTTGGATCACTTATCTCCCCATCCTTATCTCCAGTGCGCTTGAGAGAATGGACACCGGGATTTTTAGCCGCTAGGATTCCCACATCCACAGTCCCAAAATCTTCTTCATTCAGCCCTCTGTCGACAATCTTTTCAACATCTCCTTGTTTACTGCAGTCTGCACCCACAGTTTAGTTGAGTTTTTCACAAGTAATGATGAGTCCCAACTAGGAAGAGGAAAATTTAGAGTAACTTACCAATATCGGTAGAATGTGCGATCCCAGCTAGTGAACAATCTACATTTTCTTCCATGGCATGACTTGATTGATTATTTACTGAACCAACTTTTCTTGCCCTCCTAGTCTGCAAAATTAACTCAAATTACCAAAACACTCGAGCTCTAGAGAACTCTTTCTCCTTTTCTCCAATTATGATACATTTGGTATGTAAATCAACAGCCGTCATCTTAACACAGCTGAAAACAATCATATGCTAACCCTGCTGAATAGGTTTATCTTGAGAATCAGATAATCTGAATATTCTAAGTTGATGATCATACAAGACATATTAGAAACCAGTTAAGTTAATTTTAACATAGATCAAATGTTAATGCTTTCTATCAAAGTACATTGAAGAAGCAAAATTAGTTCAAGTCGCAAGATATCAGGACAAGAGGAAGTGAAATTAATTAGATTTCGGCTGGTCAAACGGTAGTAAAAGTGTCATTCTTTTTCACAGTTGACAAACTGAAACAAAAGATTGACATAATCCAATTTTTTTTTGAATATTTCCCACATGTTACCAATAATTTTCCTGCTTGTCCAAAGAATCGGGAAAAATTACACTCTACCAGCTATTGTGGAACAGTCCTAGAAAGCAAAGGAGCATAGCATGTAGCACGCAAATCAATTATGATTATAAGTCCTTCTACCCTTGTCAACTTAGAGAGGATCACTCTATTCCCTTGCACTCAAATTGTACCTTAAATAAATGATAAAAGACCTATAGAAGTCCAAAAAGGATAGAGCAAAAAAAAGGCAAATGAGTTATCATGCAAAATATGAGAAGAATGACACATGAGCTAAGAAGAAAATGGTAGAAGTCCCTTACGAGTACCTTCCAAGAGACCAAAGGCCCAGGAAAATGTTGATTCTCCAATGCTTCCACAACATTTCTTTTAGTTTTTAACTTCTTCAAAGGCTGTACTACATCACTTCTAGATTCAGAAATCTCCAGATTCTTTTTAGCATCCGATATCCCCTTGTTGGTCTGATCCTTTGCAGCAGTTGCAATTCCATCTTGAAGAGCCGTCTGATATCATCGGCATAAAAGCAAGTAATTTTGTTACTTAATGATGTAATATCCTGAAAGAATAGACTCTAGTCACTAGCTGTGAATAATTAAATGTAGCATCACAACTCCAAGCCCTCAAATCAGCGATAAAGCATCAGAAGTATAGTGAAATCCAGTGAGAGATATCTTTAAGACCTTGTGCAAGGAAAACATTTCCCAATGAGAACAAGGTGAGATGTATGAAGCGAGAACTCAGAAAAAAGACATCGACCACAAATTTGATAGCCATATCATGGTATCTCCAACAGGCAACTGCGCCCAAGGTTTGGACGTAACATCATTATTAAGACGATAAATAACCATGGAACTTAAAAGCAGGTTACGTATCATGTGACCAACTTAGATCGTATCATAGAAGTCACGAGAACTTCACAAATCACATGCTCCACCATTTTACTAGAGAGTGCTATTCTTCTAGTAAACAAAATGACCTGCTCCCCTTGAAGGTGTCCAAGCAGGTGCCCAGAAACTTCCACTTGATTTACAATTGAATTAGTAGCCATTCATGTATCCTGGTTAACATATTTATACTTGCGCCAACATGCTCAGAAATAGCCGTCCAATTATAGAAGGTGTAGATCATACTTTAGCAACGTAGAAGCTAGTTATCCATAAAATAGTACTGCCACATTATTTCCTCTGACGTTGTTGATGTTCCAAGAAGACTTTCGCTTCATTTACCTTAAGTAATCCACTTCAGTAACAACCATACTGTATAAGACTCATCGCGGTTCACACTATCTTTCTCCAAGTAGTTCAAAGCAGTAAAAGTTTGAAAATATAGCAACACATAAAGAAGCACTACTTCTTCTGGTGTAGGTGTACTTACAACATTTATTCCTATTTTAGACAGTAAAATTTTGCAGCTATTTTAGAACTACAAAAAAAGGGTATCTTTGCATAATTAATGTGACAAGTTACCTAAGTCAATAAGTTTGAGTAATCAAACTGATAAATATTCTTAATAAACTCGGATGCCCCTATATTTCTTGCATGTATAAGTGTCATTAATTAAATTGTTTCTAAATATAAATAAAGTAACATACTAAAAAGGAAATACATCGCATAAACAGGATGGAAAGGGAGTACATTTTGGTGTGACGTGACGGCCCGTTTCCAATTTCCATCAACCCAATCAAGATGGAACCTCAGGTCACGCTGAGAAAACTCGAGCTCCTCATCCGGATCCTTGAAAGCGACCCGGAACTTGCAACCTATACTACCAGTACCAGTACCAACAACACGAACAACAACTCCAGTCCACCACCCTGCAAGATGAAATGCATCAACAACGTCGGTCACGCGAAAACACAGGCGCTCATCCTCCATCCAATTTGGCGGGGCAGGCCGTAAAATGGACCGTTTTCTAATGTACTCACGTAGAGGTGTCGATCCATCTTTGTCATCTAATAAATGCTTATACTCAACCCAATAACCCCATTTTTTTCTTTTGCTTTTATTAGACGAATCACTGTTGTTCGAAGCCGGAGTTGTGGACTTTGGTGGTGCGATTATAGTGGCTTCATACCAAGCTCCACTGTACCCTTTTTCTTCTGTGCTGACTTCGACTTCAGAACCAATGCTGAAGAAGGGTTCAATAAATGAATTACTAGTAGGTGACGATACATCGTTTTCCAATTTTACTACTTTTTCCTCAATTGTCGGCATAGTTGCAGTGATGAAATGCTATAACAAAGGCTAGGGTTTTGTGAATTGTGAGTAGAATTGGAGTTTTTAGGTATTGGCGTGGAATTGAGCTGCTATTAACGCTAGCTCTAGGTATTTGATTCAAATTTCTTTAGCGGAAATTCAAGGAAAGGAGAGAACATTGGCGGGAAGTATCTGGAGAGCTTTTAACCCGACAGACTCAGCAAGTACCCTACATTTTATCCCTTTCCTCAATTTTTATGAAGAATATATTCTGTTTAATTTCACTGATGTCCCTTTTTAGGACTTGTGTTTAATTTTTATCTCCATTTTAAATGTTGCCCAAAAATATAAAAAATAAAAGGAGAAATTTAGCAAGACTTATGAATTTTGATGAAAAATACTTGGTCGTACAGTAAAACTTTTTTTTTTTTGTGCGCTTTTGTAGAACATGGTACAATAGTAGTAGTACTACTACTACTAAGAGACATATCATTGAGGTATCGAATCTCAAAAGCGCTTCCTATCATCCTCAAAAACTTGCTTCACAAAAACTGGTACAGTTGCATAAACACATTGTGTAGATTTAGTTGCAAAACATTTGCCTTCCTTTGCTAGTTGATCCGCTACCCTATTTTATTCTCTGTACGCATATTGGATTACCGAATTATCGAGTTGGTCCAGGAGGTACCTGCAGTTATTTAGCATATTGGCAAATGAGATATTATTAGTTTGTAACATTGTAACAATTTCTTTTGCATCCACATCCACCTCCAGTGGTTGTACATTATATTCATATACCAATTTGAGTCCATTAATGAGTGCATGTAATTCAGCTGACACTGATGTTCCTTTTGGGGCAGTTCCTGCAAACCCTAGTATCCATTCACCTTTTGAGTTTCGAATTATTCCTCCAATTCCATCAGTCGTGGTAGCATGAGCTCCGTCTGTGTTTAACTTATAATGAGTTGCCTTAGGAGGGTTCCATTGAAGGCTGCCAGTTGTTCGTTTCTTACCCTTGTGATAGGATGCAGCCATGTAGCTAAATTCAGTTGCTTGTTGGGTTGTAAATTTGACATTGACCTTTTCCCTAGTTGCGTTGAAATTATTTTTTTTACGAGTTAGCCAAATATTCCACAAGTTTATTGGTAGATAGGTTTGAGGATTTAGATTAAAAGGAAGTGTTAGACATTTAGAGTTGATTAGGAACAACAACCAATTTTTAGTGCATGGTATAACTGTTAGAGAAGTAATAAGATTTGTAAGCCCCAATTCTTGCCAGTAGCTCTTAGCATTGACACGTGTAAGGAATATATGCTTAATATTTTCCTCCTCTTGTTGACAGTAAACACATGATGCACTTTGTGTTAGATTAATTTTCTTAAGGTAATATTTAGTAGGTAGCTTATCATGATAAAGAAGCCAAATGAACGATTTGATCTTAGGTAGTATAGGTAGCTTCCATATCCGGGAGAAATTTGATGGAGTTAGGGATCTTGTTAAGTCTGTTTCCATAGCTCTATACAATGAATGGGCTGTAAAATTTCCCATGGGTGTTAAGCCCCAGTAGAGGATGTCGTGAGTGTTTTGTAATTGAGAAATGTAAGTGGCTTGAATTGAATTTCTTATGTCCTCAGGTAAATCAAAAGGGATGTTGGTCTAATCCCACCCGGTATCATTTAAAAGTGATGATTGTTTAATGTCATTATAGCCTGAAGGCAGTGGACCATGAATTAAAGAACGGATAGCTATGCCAGCCTTTAACCAAGGATCATCCCAGAATTTTATGTTTTGACATTTTCCAATCTTCCATTTTATTCCTTGTTGGCAGTATTATCAGCCTCGTAAAATATTAGCCCAAATTTTGGAGTGAGTACTTGCATTGTACTTAGTAAGGTATTTATTAAGGAGTAAGTTTGCCCACATTGCATGCGGAGATTTAAAAACTCGCCAAGCTAAATTTGCAAGTAGGACAGAATTCTTTATCCCAAGGTTTTGTATTCCCAAACCTCCTGCTGCTTTGGAAGTAGTTATCACATCCCATTTTAGAAGGTGAATTTTCTTTCTTGTAGCAGTAGTTCCCGAAAGAAAATTTCGCTGATATTGTTCCATTTTGTTAATAGTATGTGCTGGAATTTGTATATATTGCATAATATGGTTGGCTAAATTGTTTAAAGTTGATTTTATGAGAGTAGCTCTTCCTGCCATTGTTAGAAATTTCGTTTTCCATCCGGCAAGTCGAGTTTTGAAGTTATCAAGTAAAAATTGGATGTCTTCCTATTCCTTGGAACATAGGAAATCCTATATATTTTCCAAAAGAAGTGCCTTCTTTAATATTGAAAGAATCAGTGACAAATTGTCTATCAGAAGGCTTGCAGTTTTTAGAGAAAAAAACTTTAGATTTATCAAGGTTGATTTGTTGTCCTGAGTGATGTGTAAAGTGATTTAATACATCAATAATTGCATGACAACTTTTAGTAGTAACTTTGGAAAATAAGATAATATCGTCAGCAAAGAAGAGATGTGATAGTGCTGGCCCTGCTCTTGATAAACTAATTGGTTGCCATTGGAGGCAGTCCACAGCAGAGGAAATGCTACGTGAGAACATTTCCATACACATTATAAATAATTAAGGTGATAAAGGATCACCTTGTCTTATACCTCTAGTTGGTGTAAAGTATGGTGTCCTGGAACCATTGAGTATGATAGAAGTGGAAGTGGTAGAAATGCACGACATAATTAAAGCTACCATAGGTGTAGGTATGTTAAAATAGTGGAGGGTCCATTTTATGAAAGACCATTCCAGTCTGTTAAAGGCTTTTTCCAAGTCCAGCTTCAAGATCATTGCAGAAGATTTACCTTGCATCTTTGCAAGGTAATTTAAAGTTTCTTGCACTATTATGGCATTGTCCGAAGCTCGTTTCCCTTGCTGAAAACTAGTTTGTGTAGGGCCTATTATTTTATTAATGGTTGGCTTAAGACGATTAACAATAATTTTTGTAATAAGCTTATAAGTAGTATTACAAAGACTAATAGGTCTGAACTACTGTATAGAAGTGGGATGCTTTATTTTAGGGACCAAGCAAATGAGAGTTTTGTTCAGTTCCTTAGGTATAACCTTAGTATTAAAAATTTCCTCACAAAATTGAGTTACTTTTCCACCTACGTCTGACCAATATCTTTGATAGAATTAGGGGTGTAAACCATCAGGACCCGGTGCCTTATAAGGTTTAAAGGTGTACATAGCATATTTAATCTCTTCATGGCTAATTGACTCATCTAACTTTTGTATGTCAGTTGGAGAAAGATGGCATGTGCTTAGGTACCTATGAGATTTAGTGGACCACAAATCCTTAGTAGTGAAAAGATTTTGATAGTAATTTATGATTAACGTTTGTAAATCAGAGGGGTTAGTAATCCAGTTACCTACTGGGCCCTTTAAAGCGTTGATTCGATTTCTCCGTCGTCTGTGTAGAGTATACATATGAAAAAAAATTGTGTTCGCATCGCCATCATTTAGCCAGTTAATACGAGATTTCAATTTCCAAAATTCTTCTTCTATCCGTAATATGTTACTGTAATCTAGGTTTAGTTGTGTTTCCAAGTTTTGTAGGAATATGCTTGTAAGATAATGTTTTGATGCTTGTATGTCTGCTAGTCTAGCTAGTATTTTCCTTTTTTCTTGAAATATATTACCAAAAGTTTGTTTATTCCAACGAGTAGTTACTAATTGAAACTTATTAACCGTGTCAGGAAGAGGCTGATCTTCAAACCAGACGTTATGGACTAATTGTTGATACTGTGGATGTGATGCCCACATAGTTTCAAATCTAAATATGTTATGATGTATACTAGGTGTGGGCTCTAATGTAATTAAAAGCGGGCAATGATCAGAATGAGTACGTGGTAAATGTTTCACTATCACTTCTGGGTATAGACTTAGCCATTCATAGTTTGCTAGAAAACGGTCAAGTCTTTCTAAGATTGTGTAACCATGTCTACATTTGTCCGTCCATGTGTAACGACTACCTTGAAAGCCTAGATCAATTAATTACAATAATTAAGACATTTACCAAAGTTATGAGATCTATTGTTATTAATAGGTAGGCCACCAAATTTTTCTTTTGACTCTAATATTTCATTAAAATCACCCCCAACTAACCACAACATACAAACAGTGTCATGCAAATTAACTAGATTATTCCAAAGAATATTACGTAATTGGTAGTGACTGCTAGCATATATCGCAGATAAAAGCCATGGAGGTTTATTGGGACATACATGGACTACACCAGTGTATCTCCTGATCAGAAAGCCTCATCTCCATTACATTGATACTAGCTTCATTCCATAGCACGAGTAGACCACCTATGAGACCATTAGCCGGTACTTGGGACATATTTGTGAAGATAAAATCATCACACAGCCTGGTGTGATCTTGCATGTGGGTTTCAAGCAAGATGGCTAGCACTGGTTTATGATTATCTACTAAAGATCTAGAATGCCTACGGAACTCCGAATTGTGTGACCCCTTACAATTCCAGACTAGGAAATTCATATAAGAGTTAGGGTTATTGATCTGCCTCATGGGAGTTGGAGTCGTCGGATGGACAGCATGAGTTGTTGTCTGATCCAGACTCAGTGAGAGAGGGAGCTGGTGAAGTGTTGGAATGATCACCATGGCATATTTTCCTACTTCTGGATTTGTTGTTTGACGAAAATTGAGACTGCATGCTACCATTTCTGGTGGACATTTTAGGATAAACTTTTTTTCGAACTGTTCGTGTAGGTTGTAAAGCTGAATTCCCTTTAACCACCAGAATTCTGTTCTCGTTTCCCTCATCTCTACAAGTATCTCTGCTAGCTCTTGCCTTGTTTGAGTATCTAGTGCGGGAGGAGATTGTGGTGGTGTGTGTTGTGGACTGTCCTGAGGTGTGAGGCTCTCTAGTGGACTCAGTGGACTCGAGTATGGAGAGAGTGGGTTGAAAGTGTTTAGTGCTTGAAACCAAGGGGCATACACCTGCCCCATATGATGTGGTAGATAGAATGGGAGAAGATGGAAATTTTGGTTCCATATTGGACTCATTGGACTCACTGGGCAGGGCCATGGAGATTGTGTTGAGGAGGATGCCTGGTGCTCTAGCAGGAGTGGAGTCTGTGTCGTGTACCATTGATTCTGAGTGTAGGCTTCCATTCCTAACCTCATCCCCTCTGTCGCTATTTCCGCTAAGTGTGTAGGGTTATGTACTAGTAGGACAACCTCCTGATTGTTCAATCCATGGTGAAGATTAGTGCGTAGCCTTGCAGTCCCATCTCTAACCAAGATTG